AAAAGTCTTTACTCCACTTGAGTTTTGAAAAGTAACTTCTAGTTTTTGTAACAAAATTTTGTATTTGCTATATTTCCGGTTGTGAACCGAAAAGAGTTTTTTTTTAATTAATTTTATATTTACTAATGTAAAATAAATAGACTGCATATAAAACTTCTACAAATGTTAAAATTAAGTCATATGTATCATTACAACTTATTTTTAATCAAAGGTGCATCCTTTTTTTTAATATTAGCCATTCATTTAAGATTTCAATAAAGGACTTCGATAATGAATGGTGACTCTTGTTGATAATATCTGGACCAGATATAGTTCTAGAAACCATAACATTGTAATAAGATGACTATATTCACATATCATTTTACTAAGCACAATCCATCTAGTATATGTAAAGAAGAATTACTAAGTGAAAAAAGATAAAAAACTAAAGTTTATTCATTAAATCTATGTCAAGCAAAAATTAGAGTCTTAAGGTTAGTTACAGAGCAGAAGATCCTCATTAAATAATTTCAAGATAGCTCTAATCATCTCATACCATTAAAAAAAATAAAAAATTGAAATGTTTTCAGATTATCAGAAGCTTAGTAGAAAAGGAAGCAGTTAAAAATTACCTCTACCAGTAACTGTCAATGCAATTAAAGAGTATGCTGCTAAGGAGCTTGATCTTGCAGACAGTATAAGGAAATTGTAATAAAAGGAGGTTTATAATATTAAATGTAAAGTTCGCAAACTACAAAACACATTTTTTACTGATAATATAAGTATAGAGTTAGATGTTGAAGAATTCACTACTTTTTTGAAAAGTAAAGGGTATCAAGTAGAATGTTATAAAGTTTTTTATTAGTCAACTTATAGTTTGGTTTTTGCATACTTAGGCCAGTTAGAAAAGCTTCAACAATTCAATAGTTAACATTAATGAACTCTATGAATAAAACTAACAAGTACGATTGGTGCTTATTTATATTGTATATTCAGGACAATTATGGCTTTTGGGATGTTAAGATGCACTTCTATATGAGTAATGAAGATAGTAAAACTGTTATAAAGACCCTGTGAATAATCTGACGATTTAAAAGTCAATGAAAGCTGTGATATTTTCTTACTAACCAAAGTAATATTGAAACTAATGCTATTTCTAAAGCTTTCTTAGGATTGTCTGAAGGCAAGCAAAAGTACAATGTTATTTTTTGTACTGTTTATATAATGTGCACATGAATGACTAAAATTTATGATGCAAAAGCTCGAAGTAAAATGATCCTGGCAATACATAAAATAACAAAAATTAGCTGTAATAAACTGATTAAAGAAGCAATCAATAAATGCCAAGTTTCTGCTATTAAACAATATATTAGACAAAATTATACTAAAAATACAAATTAATAGGTTCTTTGGGCCTGCCAACATTCTTCTCTTCTTTTACAAATAATCTTAACAAATGCTATTAAGTCATATCATAGTGAATTAAAAAAAATAATAGTTTTACATTATAGATTAATAGGTAGTTATGTAAAAAATAATTTATTTAAAATTTTTTTTCTCTTTTTTTTTTATTTTTATTTTTTTTATTTTTTTTTATTTTATTTTATGCATTTGTATTGAGAAATTATAGATATTTATTACATTATAATATATAGATAGATAGAAGAATTACTTGCAAATTTAAACAAATTGCTATAAATTGATCAGAATCACCTTAAATTTAAATTGATTTAAACAATTTAAATTGTTAATTTATAATAATAAATTAATTGTATAATAAATTAAATATAATTTTAATTTTATTATTATTTTTTTTTTAAATAAATGCTTATTAGAAAGTAATCAATCTTGATATGAAAAAACAATCAGATGCAGAATATGTAGCATTTGAATTTCATATCAAACAAATTTCTGTTAGCAGTATTAATTATGAAATCCTTATTCAAGTTTATAAGTTCCCATTCTCCCTTTAGCAATTAATAATTAATGAAGTTTATGCAGTTAAAAAAAGAATAGAAAAAGACAAGAATCACCTAGTTTGATCTCTCTGAAGTGTGATTGTCTTTTTTTTCATCAGTACTTACTATCCTGCTGGCATATTTTTCATGATCATTTATATGGAGAAAAAAAACTAACAATTAGTACTTGAAGAAATTTTCAACAAATTTTCATAAAAAATAAACTTAAAGTTTACATAACTTGTGAGTTAATAGAAGTAGAATTGCCTCAAAAAACAGAGATGGAGAAGGTTGCAAAAAATTGACATTCAACAGTATATGAATTAATTGAGAGAACACATAGTACATATTGGAAAATCAAAGAAAAAAAGAATACAGAACAAAAATTTATATTTATTGAAATATTAAAATCTTCATTGAAATTTATTATAAATGAGTAAACAAAAAAAAATTTTAACTACATATCTTTGAATGCTATTCTTTGTATATTAGATATATACAATTTTATTAAATAAAATGTAATATGCTGACTTGAGATATATGAGTTGAATCAAAGCATGAATGCTTATAAAAATGTTAAAAAAACTAAACTAAAACCAATAAAATTTTAGATAGTCAATAGGGCAGGATTTATTCAATAATATTCGCAATGTTGTATTTGCAGGATCAACGCATTAATAAAAGGCCGCTTAAAGTTAAATATTATTAAATTATCATTTTTTTTGCTTCGAAAAGAGTAGAAAAAAATTTAAATATAATAAAATTTTGTAATTACCCGATGATCGATGATCATCGGAAAATCTCGTAATGTACCTGGCTTTAGCCGCCCCCCTAATTTGGTATATCCCCTGACTGTATTATTATTACTAAACCCGAGTTATGTTTACTGGGCCTTTTTTTTAGGGACCTATCAGGAACGGTATGACCCTATCAAGAACAGTATGCAGATTGTTTTTTTTTTTTATCCATCAGGAATAGTATTTTTGCCATGAATTTTTAGTACTCGATATATTTGTCACGTGAAGTTCGAAACTTTTTAAATGGCGATTTCATCCGGACCGTCTACGGACACGTACACTGATTCACGTGATTTGTACGTACCTATTATAAATCTAGAACCTGTCATGTGCTAAAAATACTTACCCTAAAGTTAGGGTACGTACAAGTCATATGAATTGGTACAAATGCTGTTGTAGGGGCCTGCAAATTGCCTATTTTTGAGGCCCGTCCCGGCCCGCAATTAGGGTTAAAAATTTTTTTTAGGCCCGGCCCGGCCCGCATTTAGGGTTACCATTTTTTTGCCGGCCCGGCCCGGCCCGCATATGTTAAATTTTTTCTTCAGCCCGGCCCGACCCGGCCCGGCCCGCAAAAATTTCTTATATAATTTTACAAATTTTTAGGCCCGCACTGGCCCGCAATTATAAAATTTTGCAAAATTTTCGGCCCGGCCCGGCCCGCAATTATAAAATTTTGCTTCAGGCCCGGCTGCGGGACCCAATGCAGGCCTCTATGCTGTTGACATGTGCAAATAATGATGATCATCTCCATGCATAGATAATCGCATCAAAAAAAAAATCTGGGCACGTGAATAGTAACATACATAAAAATATTCATGTGAAAACGAAATAATTAACGATGGCTCCGCAAAATAATAATTATACTTCTAATCTAGAGGATTCTGCTGATTACAATGGTTCAAATCCTGATCAAAACACTGAAGCGTCTGTGAATAATCGTTCTTCGCCGTCTTCACTATTTTCTGGAATCAAATCAGTAGCCTTTGATGTATCTTCTTACTGGGCAAATGTACATATAACGAACTTTTACATTCACATGTATTATTCAGACGTTTAACATTACCTTGCAATACTAGAAACTTTATGATGCAGTTCGAGATCCACGAGCTTATTATAAGCATTTACTAGATGTCGCAAGCAACTACGAACAATGGTCTGAAGCGGCAAAAATGCTAGATCAGCTTGAAGGTATATAAGATAAAGTATAAATTGATATTTAAATGTAAATAAAATTGTGGTCTTTCGTTTGATATTATTTTATTTATCGATTTTGCTTGCTACATAAAAATTTTCAAGGAAAAGATCAGTGGAAGAACGATGCAAAATCACCTGATTATGATTATGATCTATTGCAACAACGTCTCCAACAATTAAAAAAAGCACGCAAATCCGGTGATTTATCACATATGACTTTTTTATTAAAAACTTCATTGGCAAGAAATTTAGGTGATATGGGTCAACCAAAGGTAAGTTGTTGTTTCCTGTAATTTTTTGGGTTTGATTCACTTACCGAATTGTGCGTTTATTAAACTTTTATGTAGTTGTACGCATATACACATATTGGCACGAAAAGATTAATAGAAAGTTATATAGCTGAAGTAGTAAAACAAATGAATATCTTGTGTGACACGGAGTCCGATGATATATCAACTAAAGACAAACTTGAATTCTTTATTAACACAAGACAATCTTTTGGAAGGACCGCCCTTTTATTAAGTGGAGGAGGTACATTTGGTACGTAGAAATTAGCAATTCGTAATTATAAATTTGGTTTATAATGTGTAATCGCTGTGGAATAGGGCTTGCACATATTGGAGTGATCAAGTGTCTATATGAATGTAAGCTTTTACCTCGCATCATTTCTGGTGCATCAAGTGGATCTATTTTTGCTGCTCTTTTATGCACAAAGACGGATGATGAAATTCCCGAAACTCTTAGAACACTTAGTTCTTCTGAATTTCATTTGGTACGAATTCTACTTTATTTAATTCCATCTGAATATAATCGGCTTATAGCTAAAGTTTGCAATTATATAGGAGGTATTTGAAAGATCGTCAGAGCCGGACACATGGTTGATGAGAATTAATAGGTTTCTTAAGCAAGGTAACCAAAAAGCTACTATCAATTTTCGCAAGTTCGCGCGCTATAACATATTCATGTTCATGCAGGTGTATTATTCGACGCTGATATTTTGAAAGAATGCATGCGCCGCAATATTCCAGATATGACTTTTCAGGTTTTTTTTTCTTGTCTTTTTCTCCTTTTTATATAATACTTTGGAATAAATATTCAAAACTTACCATACTAGGAAGCATATAACCGAACTCGAAGAATATTGAATATTACCGTAAGCACTTCCACAGTGTATGAAATGCCGCGTCTTCTTAACTATCTAACAGCTCCTGATGTGGTAAGCATAAAAGAAATACTTCAAATTGTAATATGCACCAGACATCTTACGTGCGCTTACACTATCCACGTGTGTATTACATTTGTAATTAAAGTTGATTTGGTCTGCCGTGTAAGTGCCTTTTATGCAAGACCAAATAGGGATTTCATTAGTTAGATTATTAGAAGTCCCTCACCGATTGTAATTATTTGCAGTGCGGCATCTTGCTCTATTCCCTGCATATATAACTCTGTTCCACTGATGGCAAAGGATAAAACGGGTAAAGTAGTCCCATGGAACCCTTCAGGTGATTATCATCTTTTATGGTCCTGAAATTCTTGAGGTTTTTATGTAGCGCTAATGACTTTGATACATGTATTAAGGTCATCGATGGATTGATGGATCCGTTGAGAAGTGCGTAAATATACTTTATTTTATTTATTTATTTTTTTTTTATAACATTCTAATTGATACCTCGATCCGTTGAATAGTGATTTACCAATGAATAGGCTTTCTGAGCTGTTTAACGTAAATCATTTTATTGTGTGTCAAGGTATTTACCAGTAGTTTGACGATATAAGTACTCTATACTTTCCATTTCTAAATTACTCTTGTTTGGCAAGTGAATCCCCATGTTGTACCATTTTTACAAAAAAAATTGATTCCTTCGCCAGTTAGCCGGTTAGTTGGGTGGTTTTTATTTTTGGCGATTTCTGAATTAGAACACAGATTAACTCAGGTGAAATATTTTGACTAGTGTTTGTGTATATCAAGAATCGAATTATCGTTAAACTAATAGATTAATATTACAATTAAGCTGAGTGAATTTGGTGTTATGCCGAGCTTATTGTATCGAACAAAGGCTATCATGTCGCAACGATATTATGGTGACATCACGATTGTCCCAAACATTTCATATACTGATTTTTTTAAAATCTTATCTAATCCCACTCCTGAGTTGGTTCAAGAAGCTACTTTAAGGGGTGAAAGGGCCACATGGCCTAGTATCCTTCCATTATTAAGTTTAATGTAATGGACCAGCATTTGTTCTCATACAACACAAAACAATATTTCAATTTTACTGTTTATCCTTGACTTTTCCAAGAAATTTCCATCATTAGGAATCACTGCCAAATTGAATTAACACTGGATGAAATTGTTTATAGACTTCGTCGCCGTCAACTTAGCGATTCATTTCCAACTAAGGATTCGACCCAAAACTTTTTTTGAGTCATGACATTACCACATAGTTTGGATTGGAAATCGAGATTTTTACATGTTCATTCTCAACCAACAGTTTAAAATTCAAAATCAATCAAATTTGTTAAATCAATGCATAAATTATTACGTAAAATTTGTTATTTTTATTTTAAATTAATAATTTAAGAGAGATTTAGCGACTAAGCAGGATATATTTAATAAATTGATGTGTTATGGTAGGTCCGATGGTCGTGTCGAATATATTCACAATAAGTGAAAAAAATAACTATAATTAGTTTTGGGAATTGATATTTCCACTCATTTGATATTGCCACACCCTTGCAAACTCTAAACCTAACCAAAACCCTAATAATTATATCAAAAAAGGGTGTGGAAATATCATTTTCTTAGTTTTTTAGCGTTCAAAATGTAAATCATAAACTTCGAAATTAGAATGAAAATGCTTAACCCTTATGTAGACTAAATCTGTAATTGATAATTGATAAATGAATACTCGTGAATCATTCATTTTTTCATTCCACTTTAAATAATGATTAAGTTTCTTCCTGTCGAATGAGAGATTCAATCCAGTACAAAATCAAAGTTTTCATTTCCCTGAAAAAATATATCGAGGCGAGGCGCATCAGCCTTTTAATAACGACCAAATTATCTAAAATCATACTACGCAGCGAAGAGAATTCAGACCAAATTAATATGTTCTTAACTAAGAAAGTTCTTTGACATTAGAATTGAGTAGATTTAGATTATTATATGTTATAGGAATGAGTCCCAAAATTGGGTCTGGGTCAAAATCCCGACAAGTTGGCCCGCATTAACTGTAGCTCCGGTCAATTTTTGTCGAGATTCTGTTTGTCGGATGTTAAAAAAAGGGACGAAGTTGACAATTTTTTAAAAAAAATTTTTCACTTAATTTCGACCGTCAGTAGTTTATGATTCTACAATTATTAATTTCTTTCAAAACCACGTTTAGAAACGTATTATAAATTTCATTAATGGGACATTACAATTACATGAATTATCGTTGTTATTCACATTTTATTGAATTCGTTGCGGTTATCATTTCTTATTTAAAAGATTTACAGGCTAAATAAGAACTTCAATCCATTGACGTAACTTTTATGTGCTTTTAAATCTTAAATGATTTTCGTAAAAATGGATAATCTAAAGTAGAATTCGTTAGAAAATTCTTGGTAAAATTGAATAAGATTATTCATAAAACGTACCTTTTGCGGACATTTCAAGTTCGCTTCCGCTGCAGGATGTACTGTTCTATGTCCATTTTTCCTAAGCAATGAAGATTATCAAGTTACCTGCGTGACAAATGTAAACGTGCATAAAACTATAAACCAGTACCAGTTGAGGTATATCAATAGTCCGCCGTTGTCTTTTATACTTCGCTCAACCGTTTCGACTTCTTCTACTTCATCTTCCCAATTAGTTAATGATGGCGGTGGATATTCCTCATCGATTGAATAATCACTATCATGAGCGTCTTGTTCCACATACTTGCGTCTTAGTACTGTCTTCTGTTGGGATGTATTTGTAGTTTTTTTCGTTGAATTGGTAAGTTGTTTTTCAAGTTGTGACAAACCTTTTTGGTTGTTTGATTTTTTACTATCCTTTCGTCTTTGCCAGTACTCTTCAATTAGATCCTTTGCATATCTGCAGTTCAATTAGATGATTGTACCCTTAGCTTTTAATGATTTTAAAGCAAAACCGAACTGTACATACATATTTTCTTCATCTTCCCAAGTATTATCTTCGCTATCGTAACCAGCCCATTTTAAAAGGAACTGCGTAATATTCTAACAAATAATATATTTCATAACGCGTTCAATTTTAGGTAGCTTTGCTGCGCAAAAAAATTAGTTTATAAGACACTTAAGCAACTTACACCGTTCTCCCTATGGTCTAGAACTTTCTCAACAACATACTCTTCTTCTTTTCCTTCTGCATTGTCAGTTTCACTTTCTTCATACATCATTTGAGTATCACCGTTACGGCTATATTCAGATACCATTTCGAGCCTACTTTTACGTGAATAAACAAAATAAGCATGAGAAACTATTAGCTCATATTACTGGGAGTTCAAAAAATACAAACCAAATAACTGTCCAAAATTTTTAAAGATCGTAAGTTCTAACGCGTGTGCTTATGTGTAAACTGAACGTGAGTGAAGGCAAAATAAATGATGCATTATATAATCAGTGATTTTACGCCCCTTTTTTTTTATATTGCATAGCATAACAGAGGTTCTTTTCAATTGGCTATCGCGTTTGATGATCTTCCTGATTTTCCTCAAATGTGATTGGTCAAAATTAAAGTTATCTATACAGTTTATCTGTATAAACTATATAGTTTACTAGTAATGCAAATGAACACGTGCCATTATTTTAAGAGCGTAGAGGATAATCGTGTGCTAAGCCTGTCTTTTTATTGATCACTATTCAAGATTATTTAGTTAATTTTTTTTTAAGTTCCTGTTTTCGGAGAGTCTCCAAATGACAACACTAGCTCTCAAAAAAATGTAGCTGCATTCATTTAATCGGTGATTACACAATTAACAACCATATTTATATAAAGCAATAGTGTTCAAAATTATATAACAAAAATTTAAATTTTATTGTTGCTTAATATGAAAATTCATTTATACTATCGTTTTTAATATGAATTACGCCAACATTTTAAATGAATATTATCTAATGCTAAATTTTTGATCTTTAAATGACTATTAAATATATTATATATGATTTATTTTTATTCAATTTTGCATATAGTTTTTTTTTTAATATTTCTGTTTAATAAAACTTTTATACTATTAAAAAAAAATTATAATATTTATGAAAATCTATTTAATTATAAAAGATTTATTTTTAAGTTCAATATAATGTATTATAATTAAAGTTCTTTGATGTTTTTGACATTGTGTGTCAATTATCAAGAGTTTTAATATTAGCAATCATTTTTTTATATGGTTTAAAATTTGAATAAACATATTATAATTATAAATAACTTTTAGATTTGCTATACAATTGCTTAAATATGTTTTTAGTCTAAAAATATAAGAGTTTTTTATTGTACAAGTTATATAATAAATAATAATTGTTAAATAAATTTATCTTATTTAATATATTATTTAAGTAATTTAGATTTTAATTATAAATTTCTTGTTTTTTATTATCTTCTATTGCATATTCATTATCTTTATCAGCATTGTTCTTCTTTATTGCATAATTGTCTTTGTATTTAATAATTGACTCTCCAATTATTTAAATTTCTAAAACTTTGAAATTTTAAAAATAAAAAAAATTTACAAGTTATCTTTATACATAGTTATTATAGAATGGTCTTCATTATATTGAATCTACAAATTTGTAAATAAATAAATAATAAATAAAATATTTTATAATAATAAATTACAATATATATTATATCTGTTTAAAAAAATCAATGTTTATTTTACTGACAGAATTAACTAAATGCTTGTATAAGAAAAATCCATTTTTTATATATGATGAGCATGTATATGTTTATTGATTCAGATTTGTAGAATATAATTCTTTAGTATTTAAAGTTTTTTTACAAGCTTTTATTATTTATATTTAAATTCTTTTCTTTATACTACTATATATATTAGCAAAATTATAGATATGAAATATTTTAAAAGATTTTATATAATACAAAAATTTTGAAATTTTTGTGAAATATAAAAATGTTGAAATATTATAAAATAAAATTAAAATTTTTGTAAAGCATAAAATATTTCAAAATAATTGCAAAATTATTTAAAATATTATAAAAAAATTTATAAAATTTTATTTATTTATTTATTTATTTTTTTATAATTAAACTAGCTTTTTTTGGAGTTAGGATTTTTTATTCAGTAGTTAAGATATAGGGACTCATGGCCAAGGCCTCAAAGGAGTTTTCTTATATTAAAGAGTATAACTAGTTATATGTATACTTTTGGTGCCTAATTAAATAACCACTGATAGCTTTATACTAGCTGCTATACCAGCAACTCAACTAGAGATGTTGCTTATTTAAACTCTTTGTACTGCAATCTTTACTGTATTACTAAATTATCTTTGCTATATAAGTCAGTCAAAAAGCTTTAAATGCTTATCTATATCCTTAGAACCTTATATCTTATTTCATGCAATGTATTCTCAGAAGCATCATTACTAGAGCCTTCTGTGTTTTATATATAGCTAATTTAGTTTTATATAACACACTATAGTTATCTAATACTTGTAATTAGAGCTAACCTTAAATCACTACATTACATTATTTTTATCTTTGTAAAGTTCATCCAAACTCTGATACTTATCTTCTTGATATCTTCTTCATCATTTCTTACTAACTGCAACTTAGAACTGACAAACTCTTTAGATTTTTAATTCAGATAATCTAGTATAGTATATTTTAGTATTCTTTTTCTCTAACGATTTTGATGACCTGGTTGGTTATATGTTTTTTTATACATCTTGTCATTCAGTTTATCTGTTTGTTTCTATAAAGATGTTTCATAGGCTTTCACTAGTCTGACAGCATTGTCAAAAGTTTGTGCTATCTCTTTACTTAGAAATTTCTAAGTAGGATTCTGTCTTCTCAGTTTCTTAGTTTTTTTGCATTCAATGGTCTTATCATGGATTTGTACTGAAGTCTTATACAATATCAGTTATTAACATTTTTCTATATATATGTAATATTATACTTTATATAAATGCTCCAAGCTTTTTATAACAAATAGGATCTGACTTGATATATTTAGATTACAACCACATAAGACCAACTGATCAACAGAAGACAGTTTCTATAACATAGATTAATTTTCAAATTTCATCATAAATAAAATTTGAATTTTAAACTTGCCACTTGGAGAATAACAACTCAACCATTATACTAAAATCACCATTCTCTATAAAATTTTATAAAGTTTAATAAAAAAAAATTAATAATAAACTTAATATTTAATTATAATATGATAAAATTAATTTTGAGTTTTAGGGTTAATAGCATAACAGTTATACTCTAAGATTACAAATCACAAGGCTGCTGATTCAAATTTTAGTAATAGCAATTATAGAAATGTATTTCTAAAAATAGAGAACTACAAATTATGAAATTAGGGACTCTGAATGTTTAAAGACAAACTTATTTTCAAAAATAATAAGTAATTTGTAATTGTGAAGTTATACAATAATAAATATAAGTTCAAAAAACTCTCTCCCGTAGATCATCAAAACAAACAAAATTGACAAAAAACTAAAAATAATACTACAAGTACCTTTCGATAATATAACTTTTCTTAAAGAGATTGGATCTAACATTGTTAGACTTAGTATTATCAGAAATCCAAACCACAAGTGGCTTAAGTTGTTCTGGTCTCTAGCACAAAGTTGGCAACCCAAATAAAGAGTGAACAAATTTTGTTTATTTTTTATTTATGATCTGTACAAGCTAATTAACTAAGCTAGTTCTTCTTAAAGTACTAAAAGGCTATAGATTTTATTTTTTTATTCATTCAACGCAGTTTTCCTTTAATTTAATATAAAAATTACTTCCACCAAAACTAAATTATTTGGAAAACT